TACTACTACTACTCAGCAATTCCCAACTACTGTCAATTTTCTCATTTTCCACCACCAGTTTCATTCAGCAGCATTTACCCTCCTCCTTGTCTCCTCCCCTCCTGTTGTTCTTGTTCTTGTCCCTCCTGCTCCTGCCTCACAAAAAAATTACTAACAAGTCTCCAAATATTTCTACCACCAGCAGTGACGACGACGATCCTTACCACTACTAGTAGCTACTAGTACTTACTGTGATTTAATATCACCAGAGGTTATTACTTGAAAATTTGCATTRCCACTCACTGCTGGATAGCAGCCATTAGTGCCAGCAAGAAATAAAACAATGAAAACAATTTTATTTTTGTCCACTGGATGGTTATTTTTTAACTGGGCTAAAAAATTCTACTAGCGTTTGTGTGGGAATTGCCAAGTACGTACCATGGTGTACTATTGCCCTTTTACAGTATTTAGAAGCTATTAGTAAGTACGTACCGTACTTAAAAAATACGACGTCGTTCTCCGAAAGATTCGAAGATGGAAGCTCAAAGAAGATGAGATGGAAGCTCAAAGAAGATGAGCATGACGAGTAGGTTTGGCCATAATCTCCAATTTCAGATTTTTTAACCGTAGCAAAAAATCGAAATTTGTTCGGAGTTGATTGTTGATTCGTGATGCAAAAGAAGGAATAAAAAAATCATCATCGCATCACCATGAACTGAGTTGCCAGCGTAATATTTCGTATGCTTTGATACCTGAAATCAGAATGTCCATCACATTGCTGGCGAAGCTCATRAAAAATAAGAGACTGTTAATACTGCGCAACGAAACAACAAAAAGATGACCCAACGAGGAAGATACCCCATTGGCGATGAGGATGTGGTGACCATTAAAGGCAGGTACCTCTACAAGGGGGACGGTGACACTCGATTTTTTGTAAAAGGAATCGCATTTCCGATCCCTCCTCCCGCTCCCGTGAAGATTGATATCGATGGATGGATTACCGTGCTGGAGCAGCTCGCCAACGACACCGATATCAATGCCGTTCGCATTTACGACATGGATTGCTACCATGTGGATGATACGTACGATCCGTTTCTTCGGAGGGCTGCCGAACTCGGTATCTACGTTATTGTTCCTCTCACCAGCAGCGAAGGCGACGGAAATCTCAGCCGGGATACTTCTCCCCCGGACTGCTACCCGCAAAAATTGTTTCATTACGGGAAAACCTGTATCGACAAATACTGGGACCGCCCAAACGTCCTGATGGGTGTGATCGGAAACGAGGTGATGAACAGTTTCACCACCTACAAGAGTGCACCGTGTGTGAAATCCTACTTGCAAGATCTGGTGAAATACAGTCGTTCATTGTCCAGCCAATCGTCATCGAGTAGAAAAGCGTTTCCTCTCATCTACGCAACCCAGCACGACTCCCCAACATCAGAGCTCCATCCCGATGAGGCCATCAAGCTGACATTGGACTACCTTTCTTGTGCCTCTGGCACAGAAAGAAGTGATGGGGCCCTTGATCTTGTTTTCGGGATCAACATTGAGAGCTGGTGTTCTTCGTCGGAATCTTTTGATGTTGAAGACGACGGTATTACGGAATCGAGTTATCATTCCTTATGGAGAACCTTCTCTGGCAAAAACAAAACAGTGAAGATCGTAGATGCCGTTACCGGAGACTTTACACTCGAGCAAGTTCTTCCCGTGTCGCCAATTCCGGTAGCTGTGCCAGTTGTCTTTAGTGAAATGGGTTGCTCGAGAAGAGATTTCAACAGAGACAATCCTCTTATACCAGAAGACCTTAAGAATATTCGAGATTGGAAGCAAATTCCTTTGGTATCGTCGGAAGACGGGAAAATGGCCGACCTATGGAGTGGGTTTATTGCTTATGCATACGATGGCGGAGGATTCGATGTCTTTCGTATGATGGGTGGCAATTCGACCAAATGGAATGGAAAAGAATCTCTCCCCCCATCAACGGAGTACAATAATTTTCGTTATCAGTTGTCGAAGGTAAACAATCGAAGTCTCACAGGAGAGTCTTCCTTCTCTTTGAGCGAGATAGCCGAGATAGATCAATCAACTTTATCTTGCAAAGATGCCACTGCCAAGATTCGGAAATTCTTTGGTGTCAAATTATATTCGCTATCTGAAATGCCATCATATTTTCCTGAAGTTAGGGATAATGTAAAGCGATTGACAACATTCGATCCTCGTGCGCCACCATCTGCGGGCACTCCAACGGAATCCTCTATTACCAACAGAGTAGCGTCCTATGGAGAACTGCATCTCCTGATTTCAGTGTTATTGTTCGTTTTGCTGGCTGTTGGATTTTTGTTTCTGGGTAGAAGAAGAGGCGAACGACCCAATATCCGATTCGGTTGGCTCGAACAACGATTTGGACTGAATGTGGATTCTAACAATAACAAAAGACACTTCGAGGACGAGAACATCCCTTTGAAGTCTGCTGATATGAACTACGGCAGCATGTAGGCCGCTTCTAGGAAGACTGAATCCTCATCGTCTACCATGAATCTTGGTATCCTATTCTTTGGCAGGGAACAAATTTGAATAAGAGAGAATCGACATATCGACACTGCCAATGTTATGTGAAAGCAAAATACGTTCCATCATTGAAATCTGATTTGTAGTGCAGTCGGGTCTTGGTTATTGCAGGGTAGATGTACTAGGTCCCGAACACGGCAGTATCATATCTGAGATCAGAATTCCAAATGTAACTAGACACAAAGAGTGTTCCAATTCTCATTCGACGACAACATGAATCTTGTGACATTCATCACGGACTACTACTAGTAGTACACGAGGAAGCAAATGTTGAAATAACAATAACAACAAATTATGATTTCAACACAACCACAATTCACGTATGGATGATCAACTCAATTTAGTATTGTGGCTGTTTATTTYCTGTGTGTTAAAATCATGACACCATCAACACATCCACTTTGAGTTACTACCTACTACTGTACTCTAGAATTGTATTCAGCTAGGTGGTTACTAGTACAATACTATGCAGTTAACCACTTGTTGCATTCTAAAGGCAGCATTGGTGCAATATTATGTAAAGCCAAGTCATGCCATATCATAGTTACATACAGTACATACATGGTACGACATATACATCTACTATAGTTGGGGTTATCTGGCAATAAATGGATAGGCTCTGACACCATGAGCTGGTGACCCCTGGTGGTTTTAAAAAAAAATACTTGTAGAAGTGTACGTAGTATGTTACCTGACTGACACAGAATTATCTTCAACCAGTAATGAAATTTTCAACTGGTTAAGAAACATCATTGAGGACCATTTGCTAAACTGCCACACCCTACAGGGCAAAAAGGCATTCAAGTCAAACACCAAAAAGTATTACTAGTAGGCAGCATTAGACTGGCTGTGTTAAAAAATAGGCCAGAAYGTTATCATTAATATCTCTGGTAGACCACCAGACTAAGTGCCCAGTCCAAGTTAATACAACAATTACCTAAACGTTGGCGTAGGCTGAGAACTACTAGTAGTATATCAAAGTCATACTAGTAGCAGTAGTGGATGGCCAAATTTTGCTCTAATTTTGGCTATAATTTTAAATTTTACTCAGATTAAACTCGTACTGTATGAGTTTAACAACAGTTCTGTCTGAAAGGCGTAGAGACCATACCAAAATTTACACAAAAAATTAAGTCATAATTTACACTCAGGAAACAAATCCAACTCATTATGACCATAGGAATTGTAATACCTCTGCAACCAAAGCATTCTAAGACAAGCTCAGGGTACTGTTAGAAAGCTCTGACTCTCTTTAGTAAGGTCGCCATGTATCATTCCTGGTTTCAAAGAACTCTTATTTCTACACTTGTTATACAAAATAGTAGGGAAAAAATGTAAGAAATTTGTTTGGGAGAGATGATCATACTTGCATCTTGCAATTTGACTACAAAGAGAGCTGCTATGCCAAATCCAAGTAGATGAATTGAAAGAGCACTATCAGGAGAAGGTCTCCRTCATGTAATGGGTTTGGTATTGTCCAAGTTTTGGTTGAGAGGTTATGTTAAAAGTGGTGGAAGAGGCTGATGATGACAAACTACTCAAATGGAACAAACAWACAGATCAGGGAGTTGGGGCACATTCCTGACGGAACTTCTCCCTATCAGCATCAGTCATCTGTCTGAGTGTCTCCTTGAGCATCTTTCTGTTGTTCTGTTCCTTTCTTCCAAGAGCGGTGTCGTCCTTCAACTTGATGTCTTTGGTATTCAATCTTGTGAGTTCAGCTTTGTCCCATTCAGTCCATTTTTTGTATGACTTAGGTGGACTTCCCTGTTGAAGCAGGAAAGTGTACTTCTGTATCATCTCACTTATATTTTCCCCTTGCTTACTAGGTGCAATACCATGCCAGTTCAGTAGTGTTTGTAGCTGTGAGATCTTCAGCTGATTGGGTGGAATAGGTGGTTCCAATTCTACAATAGCAAGAGCATCCTTTTCAACTTTTGCTGCAGCAAGCCTTGCCTTTCTGTCTTTAACCAATGCCTTCACAGTATCCCTCTGTTCTGCAAGTTCCATCACCAGTAATGCATCATCTGAAGTTGTGTGTCCACCTCCTGTGACAAAAAAGCGCTGACCATGAGTCTTTGCATTGGACAACGTTTCAATGCAATTGCTGGAATGAGGAACAGTTACCGCTGTGTCCCTAACTACTTTTTGCTGTTTGAGTTGACAAAGAAAGTGCAAACCATTAWAACCTCTGGAACTGAGAAGGCTACAGGCAGTTCTGTTCTGTGCTTCAAGCTCCTTGTACCATTTCCACTGGGGATCATTGTTGTTGTCTTGTTGCACCTGTCTTGATTCATGACATGCCATGGTGAAAGGTGCAGCACCAACTCTAGCCCATGACTGTTTGTTCTTTTCTTTTGAAAATTCAGCTGCAAAATAATCTGCAAAACCAGAACAACCCATTACCTTGTCTGTATCACCAAAAACCAAGAAGCTTACAGTTGAATGGGGAATGGAAYACTTTGGTTGTTATCAATCTGATCAGCAGTGAGTTGAAACAGATTCTTTTGGAACAAACTTTTGAACAAATTGTAACTTTGATCTGTTTCTTGCATCACAGCTGTGGTATTTGGGACTGTTGGATATAGAATGACACCTCRAAGTCTGAGATTAGTCAGTAAACTGCTGTTGAGTCTTCCTGGACCAGAATCAAGCTTGATGATCACACGGCAACCATTCACATTTTGGAGATCAGGAAACAATGGAATCACACTGGTAGTCAGAWATGCTTGAAACTCCTTGTCATCCATGCCCCCTCTTTCTTTTAACCCAACAGTTACAGGCCACACATGACTTTTTCCATAATTACCAAAAACACCATGAGCATTTTTGGTGTGACAAAATATCTCCAAACTGAGTTTGTGTCTGTCCTCAAGCTTTGCTCTTGTGGGGAATTGAAAATGAGCAGGCATTGTTTCACCTGCAGGACGAGTGATACCAGCAATGAATGTTACAGTCACACTAGTAGACTTTGACAATTGAATACCTACTTRAGGAATCCTTTGGTCATTGAAATATACCTGTGGTTTACCTCCTCTTTTACCACCACTACCATCAAGGCATAGGCAACTCTCATCAAGGTTCAAAATCCTTGCAAGCTCAGACTCTGGAATGTCTAGTGATCCATCCTCACACTCAGTTGCAAAAGCAAGTTCTACCAAATCAGAATGCCACCAAGTTGAAAACCACATTTCAAGGTTTGATCTGGTAGTCCACCTGGCACATCCCTCTTTGGTAAAACTGTTGCTGTCAAATCAGCATCAGTACAGCTTTAAATTGAGTCAAAAAATGAGTACGGCTTTTCTTTTCACTGAAAACTGGTGCAATTGTTCAATTCATTTGTTGTAGAAACAACAACCTTGCATTTTTTTGAYAATTCTGCATTTGCTTGATTGAGTTGAATGTAACTCTCCAAGGCACTGACCAAAAGGTGAGCTGATTCTTCATGCAGATAGCCTGGTTTGGGACCAGGTTTCCTTTTTGGTGTTTTTCCTGCCTTTCCATCTTTGACATATCTCAAAATTGTACATGCACTGAGTGCAACTCCATWGGAACCACTAACAAGCTTTGCAACCTTCTGCACACTGAGACCAATACCATCTTCAATGTTCCATTGCTTGGCATACAAAATTGTTGCTTCAGCATGGGCCTCTGCCTTGTGCTCTTCCATCTTTTTGTCATTTGTACATATGACTTGCAGCTGCTGAGTATTCTTGCAAACCTCCTTCTGCACTGGGGGAGGGCATTTCAATCCAGACAGTTTCATCTTTGAAATCTTTGAGGAAGGATGACTTGAAGAATCATCACTCAAAATAGTGAACGCACCACCAGAAGCGGTGCTTGCTGCTGAGTTCCCTGACAACGGAGATATGTTGTCATCACCACTTCCTACTTTGATGCATGGAGGGAGAGCATTCTGTTCCTTCTCCCAGTGGCAAAGTACCCTTTGCTGCAGGATTGGATTTTCTGATTCTTCAGTGCTAAATTTTGCTGCTCTCATAACCTCTGGCACCTTCAAATACCCTATTGGATGCACCAGGGTAACAAGTAAAAGATTCACTCCTGCTCTTTTTATCTTTGCGTGGTCAACATCTTAGATAGGAGCTGAGATTTTTATTGCTTTAAACTAAACAATAGAGGTATATTGAATAGGAAACAACAAATTAGTACACAATAGATCCATTTAAAACACTTTAGCAGCAACGCAGGAATAACTAGTAGTACTGCTGGTAACTCTACTACTACTACTAGTAAGAGGAGAGCCTTCTTGGAGTTACCAACTCAAATGTCCTCCCCTTTGTTGATAWGCTCAGTCATAGTGTTGGGGAGGTGTGCCTGTGCAGGTGTCCTAATGAAGTAGTACTATAGAACGGCTGGGATTCTCATCTTGTTAGTACACCACCACCACCACCACCACCACCACCACCACCAGCGGCGGTACCACATGCCAAAAATAGCTAGTGCTCGAGACCGGCTGTGTGGTATCAAATAGGCCAGCAAGTGACAAAAAACAACTCTGATCCTGTTCACCCCCTACTATGTCTTTACTATTACTTAGACATCCATGTCATTGGGAACCCATAGGATGCTATGGTGGCTTAGAACTGGCTCACCAAAGTTACAGTAGCTGGTGGCCTAATTTTTAATTTTGATGTAAGAAACGGGCCCTGCCAGAACGTACGATAACTGCCCAGACGTAATTTTTGCTTGCCGTGTCCGTTGTTAGTGGCTACACGTAGCAAACATACGATACTTGCAGGCGCGTGATTCAAATCTCCTTCGTACAAGCAACGCGCGCGTAGGTCGAAATCGACGGAATCACTCCTGTTTAAGTTGGTGTACGTTACTGTACATCCGTACGAGCGTAAAAGTATCCGTGCCGCCAAAGGGTCGATAAACAAACTCATGACACCTGATTCGTACCTACCGTACGTAACTGGTAAACTACCAGTACAACAACAGTCAAGCCAYTCCTTCATCGATTCATCGAAGAAACTTTTCTCWTGGTTTGAATTTGGCGCTGCACATCTCGATGAAGTAGAGCGTACGGGTACCGCAGAGATAGAATCACTTCTTTCGAGAGGTTGGAACTGCAAGTTTCACGATGAACCGGTTTGGTTACCTTATCCCTACTCTAATAATACTTTCAATATGCTGCGTATCTTTTGTTTTCCGTTACTCGCTCACGGGATATGCAATCAATGAACAACGCCACCACCATTTTCAGGAGGTTGCTACAAATAGGTTAAGAAAGGTACGGAACGGGGAATCGGAAAGGCTAGGATCCGGTCAAGTAAATCTTCAGGATGGTGTCGATGAAAATGAAGAATATGACGTTTGCATCGCTGGAGCAGGTTTGTCGGGAGCTGTAATTGCCGAACGATATGCCTCACAGCTGAACAAAAAGGTTGTGGTAATTGAAAAACGAGATCACCTCGGTGGAAATTGCTACGATTACATCGATGATGAAACGGGTATCCGTGTCAGTCAATATGGAGCCCATTTGTTCCATACTRTCAATAAGCGTGTTTGGAATTACGTGCAACGATTTTCAGATTGGACAAATTACGAGCACGAAGTAGTTGGAGTAGTCGAAGGCAAACATGTCCCTATTCCTGTCAACATCGAGACAGTGAATACCCTGTTTGGACTAAACATAACCACAACCGAAGAAATGGACAATTGGCTGTCACAAGAACAGGTTAAATATGAACAACCCCCTAGAAACTCGGAGGAAATGGCCCTGTCGAGAGTGGGAAAACGACTTTATGAACTTATTTTTCATCCTTACACTATCAAGCAATGGAACAAAGAGCCGAAAGACCTTGGTCCCGAAGTAACTGCGAGAATCCCTGTCAGAAACAACTTCGACAACCGATATTTCGGTGACCCTTATCAAGCACTTCCAACCAACGGGTACACATCCATCTTCGAAAATTTGCTTTGTCATCCGAAGATTGACGTGCGATTGAACACAAATTACTTCGAAATAAGGGATAATTTACGGTGCAAGCATACTTATTTCACAGGGCCTATTGATGCGTATTTTGCGCACATGGGGTATAAGAAATTGGAGTACAGAAGTCTAGAATTCGAACGCAAAGTCGTGAAAAACACTGGTGATCGTGGGACTTTCCAACCAAAATTTGTTGTAAATCATCCTTCTTCAGATACAAATTTCACACGCATTGTTGAGTACAAACACCTGCTAAACCAAACAAGCAAGGATACAATTTTGTTCGTCGAGCGATCCAAAGACGGAGGAGAACCATACTATCCTGTACCAAATGAGGAAAACAAAGCTCTATATCAAAAGTATCAAGAGTTGGCCGAGAAGGAACCAAATGTTACATTCGTCGGACGTCTCGCAAATTATAAGTACTTCAATATGGACCAAGCCATCATCAATGCTCTTGAACTGTTYGACAAAGACACTGGTCTTTCAGAAGAAAATGACGATTCCATCTCTTTGTGTGTTTCCACGAGCAACGGAGATTGAAGTTAATTACAAGAACATAGCATAGACATAAAATAATAATGTTGTAATCTAATTGTTTCCCGACGAGGCCATGCTATGAATACTTTTTCATACAGGCCATGCTCGAAAAATTGTCTAGCAAATTCACATTTCCAGAAGGTGCTTTTCCCATTTCATGGTTGTCACTAACATATGTATCTATCAACGATTGAGTAGATGCAGATGATGATGATTCAACTCAGAACCGGACGAGGAAGATCTTACATGATGCTTACCACGGGAACCAGAGTAGCCGTCCTTCGAGACCTGTTTCTTTCCCTTTGTCCTCTTTTTTAGCGAAAGAGTGCCCAGTGAGTATACCTTTTCGGTGGCAGTAGAATAAGTAGAGAAATTTCTTGGGAGAGTAGATCGCCTGTCAATTATCGATTTTCCTTGTACCCAGGGATGCTGGATAACTTCTGCAAGATTGAGTCGCTTTTGCGGGTCCGCCCAGAAGAAACCCTGAAGCAAATTACACACTTCTGGTGATATTGAGATTCCTAATTCTTTGAGCATACCATTCAAATCGCCCGAAGATATTCTGGCATAGCGTTTATCAGATGCGTGAGCCCAACGAAATGGGGCGAGTCCCACAACCATCACAAACAAAACGACTCCTAAACTCCAAAGATCAATCGCAAATGCATCTACATCGGTCGTCTTTGAAATTATTTCTGGGGCAGCGTACATTAGTTTCCCTCCCTGACCTTGTGCTATCATCAGTCTTCGAGAGGTACCCGCGGATACATCTCCCACGCCACCGGTTTCGGAGTCTGTGTATGGTACTCGTAGGCTCATCCCAGGATCGATCAAACAAATGTTATCATCTTCATCTAGCAATATATTCTCGAGGCAAATGTCTCGATGACAGACCCCCTTTTTCTGTAAAAGATTTGCGGCCTGAAGTAGCTGTCGGAACCAAATCCGGGCAGAGTGCTCGTCAAAGCCAGTTGCCMCGACGGAATTTGCGGTATCTGATCGCACCGAACGGAAGCCCATGAACTCAACCAGTCGTCCGTAAAGATCTCCACCACCGCAATATGGCATAACGGTGTAGAGGCATTTATCATCCTGTAGGACCTCCAGAGCTCCAGAGATATGTTGGTGGTAATTTCCTAGAAGCTGCATCACAGAAACTTCTTTGATTGGATCTTCTAAATGCTTTCCTCGTAGCGCATGGATCTTTTTCCATTCTGATATTTTTACGGCGGCCTGATCATCGGTGGACTCCCATTCTATCAACGAGCAATCCATGTTATTATCTTGTCGATCCTCTTCTTTCGTTGCATCACTACTATTCGTGCTGTCATTCGGGTCGTTCTTGATACGCTTCAGCACAATGCAAAGACTCACACATCCATATACAGTTTTCGAGACTTTTTTCGTTACCAAGTATGCAGTATCGCAGATCGATATGTTGCTGAAGTACCTATTGCCATTGTTGTTGCTGTTTACAGTAGATCGARTTAGAACATTTTTCAAGTRATGGATTGTCCCAGATTTGTGATCTCGTGCTCGCAAGTCCACCAGCTCTCCGCGGAATACTTTTGGAGATGGGAAATCGAGTGGTCTTGCGGGAGGCCCAGCGTTAGCAACATCTCTGTATCGTAACGTGGCATGACGGTCGTGCTCAGCTGTGCCGAATTCTTCGAGTTGACAGTCATCACCACTAACACTCTCTCCCAAATGATGATGCTGCCAGAGCCCGTTCATCGCGTGCACTTTTCGGTCTTCGTGCTTTACGATTCCAGGAATTTGATTCTCTGTAGTGTTTATGCAGATGCCTCTTCCACCCTGTTCCGCCCTCTTCTTACTTCTCTTCTCTTTTCTCGTTCCTATAATGTTGTTGAATTGGTTCTTTAAACATTGGTTGTATATGAAGTGTTAAACTCCTGCAATATCTATGATTTTCTTTGTATCTCCGACTAATGCAAGATAGGTCCGATCRTATGTCGCTCGTCATCGCCTCTTATTCATGTCCAAAAATGCTRTCACAGAGACAAAAATTTTGTTCATTCATGAACTTGTATGTGCTGATATGTGTGGGCTTATCATTTAAACATGTTCAACGGTCCGAAGGCAATTATCTTTACCTCATTTTATTATGTTTTGTGACTTTCGAAAATAGCATGAGTTTATAATTTTTTTCCACGATTGGACGAGGTCGACTATTTTTCACGCTGAAAAGTTTATTTCTCGGAACTCGTACTTACAGTAATGATCTCCTTAGA